CTCCTACATCTTCCCAGCATCTGACGCAACAAGCATACTTCCTAAGCACTATATCACCGAGTCGGCCCATAAAGCGCAATACTATCCTCGCATCTACCGTCATCGCCAATCACGGACTGGTCATCATCCATGGAGTGTGACACCATGGCAGCCGATCCAACGAGGCTTTCCTACTTCTCTTTGCCAGGCAAGGTACGGAACAAGATCATGGACTATGTCCTGGTCCACGGAGACATCTATCCCCGCAGGCCCATCTTGGGCACTACAGCCAGCATCGAATCTCCGCCTGGAATCCAGCTGATCGCAACCTGCAGACAGGCCTATCTCGAAGGCCACGCGTTGTTCTATTCCTCCAATACATTCCACCTACCGCCAAGCATGACATTTGAGTGGTCTGATAGACTTCAAGCCAAGCACAAAGCCATGATCAAGCGTATCGGCATCACGCTTGGCCTCGTCGAGTTGACCCCAGCAATGTTGAGCCAGATTGAGTTCAGAAACTGTATCAGCCAAGAGGACAGGATTCGCGGGCCCTTCGCGGTATCAGACTTTCTGCTCGACACCTGGAATTCAAAACTGCGGCATGTGGCGGCTTGGACTTCCTTGAACGAAATCGAGGTGGATTCGTTTGGTCGCACGTACGTTCTTCGGCATCACGAAATGGTTGCCAACTTGGGACAAACCCGTGTCGATAGTTGGGGCAAGCTTGACATGTGGTCTCTGGGCCCTTACTGGCTCGATACACTCCGGCGATCGCGCTTTGCCGCGCTCGGCAACATCTGCGCCAAGGTCAAAGCTGTGGGTTGGAAGAGAACGAAGGAATGGCTTTGTGAGGAAGGCAGGGGAGATATTTAAAGGTTTTCCGGTTGCGCCGTCCGATATGACCGTGCTCCACGGAGGCGCAGTGATGGTCACTCGGAGGACTTGAGTTATTGCATGATGAGTTTTCACTCCAGAAGGGTTCCGGGTTTGACGTGGACGGTGCTCGACAATGTAATTGTAGGGTATTGATTTCAAGGCCATGTCTAGCAAAGGAAGACTCTCCTCACCAGGGTATGGAAAAGAGGATCTTGAATGAATGTGGAGAGAGCTTTGCTGGTTTACGAGGAGACTGGCATGCTCGAGAGACTAGCTCAGAATCTTTACATGCATGTTCAATAGAGGATCAAGCGATAGAATGTGGGTCTCACCTTGATTCTTTCCATTTTGTGTGTTCCTGCCCATGTCATATTTCGTCAAGAGTGTGAGGCAAAAATACGCCTTGTAACCGAGCTAGCGCTAGCTTCTGAATCATACACTCTATGGGGCTGCGGATCTTCCTTTTACCATCTCAATTACTCTACCCTATCTATTCTATGGACTGAATTGAGTTCCGTGGCAGGCTGGATGGCCCTCAAGCTTATCAGGTCGAACTCAGTAATGAACGGAATCAAATGAACCCAAAGTCACGAGAAGCAGATGGAATATGCGTAAAGCGTTTCTACTTTCTATTATCGATCCTTTAGACAATCTTACCATCAGTAAACGACCCAATGTGTCAAGCAATTGCACTGGACGAGATTGAGTCATGACAACAGTCTACCGAAATGGAAGATTTTTCGTTGGGGAAGCGGAAAGTCAAACCCCCAACGGCCCATTTTCAGCCTGTATGGTCGTCACGAACGATCTTATCGAACACATCGGAGGGGAACCTGATCTTATTGTCACACAAGCCATAGAGAATGGAGCCTCGGTGTCTGATATGCAAGGACGAGTCGTGATACCAGGCTTCATCGACGGACATATGCACTTTCTACTACTTGGTCTAGCCCTCCGAAAAATTGACCTTGGAACCTGCAAGAACATGGACGACATCAGTGCTAAAATCAAATCATATGCCAAAGCGAACCCGTCCTTACCACGCATCCTATGCCATGGATGGGAGCAGCCCACAACGAGTGGGATGGCGCTGGCTAGCATGCTTGATCCCATCGACGAGCGACCCATATTCATCGACGCCAAAGACTTGCATTCAACATGGTGTAACACAGCCGCGCTCAATGAACTGAATGTCGAGTCGATGGAGGATCCAATCGGTGGCAAAATCCACCGCGACGAGCACGGAAGACCTTCCGGATTACTGAGTGAAGCGGCCGCCGTCACGCTTGTGTGGCCCCATGTTGCTCGAGTGACGCCCCTTGAGGACAGGATCGAAGCGTTGCGGGAAGCCGGCAGAATCTACACTCATGCAGGATACACTGGGATGGTCGAAATGGCCATGGACGAGAATGCATGGGCTGGATTGCAACTACTGCGATCACGCGAGAGCCTACCCTTTCGTGTCGCCGCGCATTGGCTCATTAGCCCTTCGGATGATGAGAACGTCACTTTGAAGCAGGTAGACCGGGCTATTGAGCTTCACGAGAAGTTCAATGCAGACACGTCGCCGGCGCTACGTATAACAGGGATCAAGATCATCTGCGATGGAGTGGTCGACGCTTGCACTGCAGCTCTTACTCAGCCTTATAGCTCGAACGGCGTCTCGTGCTCCCCGCTATGGACTCCGAAAATGCTAGCTCCAGTGGTTCAAAAAGCTGATTCGGCCGGTCTACAGTGTGCCCTGCACGCGATTGGAGATGCAGCCATTAAAAACGCCATTGACGTACTCGAGAGCTTCGGTACTCCAGGACGCAGACACCGCATCGAACATCTTGAACTGACATCTCCCGAAGACGCCAAACGGCTAGGCAAAGCCGGCATTACAGCATCCGTCCAGCCCGTACACTCGGATCCGGCCATCCTCCGAGCCTGGCCCAAGCTACTAGGCGAAACACGCTGCAAACGGGCGTTCGCCTATAAGAAATTCCTGGACGAAGGCGCCGTGCTTGCCCTAGGGTCTGATGCGCCAACCGCGCCGCATGCACCACTGTCGAATCTGTACTGCGCAACCACCCGGCGGTCTGCCAGAGAGCCGGAGTCGTTGGCTACAACCAACGAGCAATACGCGCTCCCGCTTGCTACTGCGCTGGCTGCGGCTACGGAAGGCGCTGCGTACTCATGCTTTGCCGATGCGTGGACTGGGAGACTAAGGCCCGGACTCAAGGCTGATTTCGCTGTTGTTAATATGAGTTGGACCTCAGAAGATTTGCTGAAAGCACAGGTGTGCCAAACTTGGTTTGAGGGAAGGAAGGTTTATGATCGTGACGATGAAGAGCATTAGCAGCTTTGGGATCGGATTCGGTAGCGACTTGAAAAAAAAAGCATATCGAGAGGTAGCACGAGGAATCCTTTGGGCTCCCAGCGGTTCAAACGACGCATTCTATACGCTCTCTCACTAGCCTTTCTCCTAGAAGTATAGTAGAATTTTCGCGGTGCGTATAGTATTGTCGGCTCAAGCCAGAAATGAGAACAATTCGGGCAGGAAGGGGTAAATTACAAATTCATACCCCTAATTACATTTTCATACCCCAATGGGGTATGAATCGGTAATTTGCCATTCCTTGGGGTATGAAAATGTAATTTACCATAGTGCGCTGAGGTTAGGTCTTCGGGGGTTGCGAAATTAGCCCGGACCGGCCTCGGGAGCCCCGAACTGAAGACCTCTAGGGTTCGCCGTGTAACTCGTCGAAACCTCGCTCCGGGGTTGAGGCGAGCTCTTAAATCCCCAACTCACCCCAATCCGCGATAAATTTAGGGTTCAATTTTCTAGGGGCTTTTTAAGGCTCCCGGGGCTTCTTTAGGGACGTTAAACGCCGGGCACTCAAAGACGTAATTTAATAAATTACAAATTCATACCCCAAAGAATGGTAAATTACATTTTCATACCCCAAAATTGGGGTATGAATTTGTAATTTACCCGGCAGGAAGACACCCACCATTCGAACAGCTTCACGGTACCAGAGCCATTCAAAAATAGATAAATGACAATGCTACTGATTTCGCATTCTCGTACCACCTGGATCTAACGTGCGCAAACCTAAAACATTGGTGCAGCACATGGGAAAGATAAGAATTTGCGGAGGTCAGCCCGACACAGTAGGGAGGTTTAGCAACGATAATTAAAAGGAAATAATTAAAAGAAATAATTAAAAGAAATAATTGAAAGAAATAATTGAAAGAAATAATTGAAAGAAATAATTAAAAGAAATAATTGAAAGAAATAATTAAAAGAAATAATTAAAAGAAATAATTAAAAGAAATAATTAAAAGAAATAATTAAAAGAAATAATTAAATCATGGGCTTGGCAAAAACCATCAAAATTTTGGAATTCTAAAATTTTTTATCTCGTGCGGGTTTGCATGAATTAATTTTTCTCAAATTTTCGTAAATTATATATTAATATATCTAGAAGATAATATAAAAAAAGCGCAATTTTATAATCGCTTTTAATGATGATATATAATTAAGAAGTTGAAAAGTTATCGAATTTGCTTTAAATCAGTGATTAATAATATAAATCACTGGTTTAAAAGCCACCCGAAAAACTACCTTCTTGGGTATTTTTTTTTGCCAAGTCTGTGCCAAGCCTGGCAGTGAGAATTTTAGCTGTGGTACTTAATGCGTATTTCGTTTTAATTACTTCTTTTAATTATTGTTGCTAAACCTCCCTAGGTAGTTCGTGTCGCACATTGCATTGCGCAGCAAGGCATTCCCTAAGCCACGTACAACTACCACTCATTTCTGACACTCGAGGAGGGGGGGGCGAAGATTTCCCCATTGAGGCAGGTTTGAGTATTTGAGGGTGGGCCCCGATTGGCGCACAAATAACACGCGTATGCGTCCGAGATCCTTCGCCTCGCTTGAGCTTCTGTACCTGGGTAAGATCAGCAATCCTGCGGATTCGAGCGGGTTGATAGGCAACAGGGTGTGAGGGGTAAGGCTGCGAGGCTGCAAGGCTGCAAGGCCAGAAATTTGTTGAAGAATCACGTTTTTTTCATATAATTTAAGGACTGCACTCGTATAACAGTCGCACAATCGGTCACACAAAGTCACACTGGGTCAGTCCTCTTGACTCGCCGCAATGGAAATAAATGGGAACCCGTCCATCATTGAACCAACCACTTCATCAGATGGTCCATTGCCTAGCATTCCAAGTCTGTCCCCCAACCCAAGCTCGTCATCCGATTCTTTCGATTCGTCACGGCCAAACTCGCAAGGGAGCAGTGCGACTTCTCGATCGGTCTCACCCTCACCAATTCCGAAGAGCGTCCCCGCGATAGATAGTCAGGAGTCAGTTGAGCCTCATGCCTTGCCTCCAAATCCACCACTCCCAGAAAACAAATCAGCAAGCCAATCACATCGCCAGAATCACCCCCCAAGATCCGTACCCCCAGCGCCGACTGCAAGCCCTAGAACGGATCATGAAGTCTCATGGATTTCCCGCCTCAGATTCCTCAGTCCGAGAAGAGACTGGTTTGCAAATGCCCTGGGTACCATAAGTCTCGGGCTTACATTAATTGGGATGGTCATTTTTGGAGAGCGAACATACAAACTCGCGGTCTGGTCAGCTAAGAATGATGTACTTGACACGTGTGGTCAACTGGACTCTGTAAGTAGCTCTGGGCTATATCTGGTCACCTCTATTCGACTGGCTCTAATGCTTCCGTAGACTGGGATTCAACTCGGTCCGAATTGCAAAAAGCTTCTGTCGAACAATACGGCCGACGTGATTTTCCCTCCATATAGTCACTGGAAACGGACTTTGAATGCAACTCTACAAGCGAGCTCGAGGCTTTTGAAGGATGGCTTCACGAAGCGGTCTTCTCTCCCAACTGGCGGGCCTGGAGATGACACAGTCATCTCAACCTTCAACTTCTTGTCAGCAGCGATCGTTCTCTCTTCCACTGTCATCATAGGAGGTCTATCACTCATCGTCTTTCGCCGCCACTGGAGGAGTGAGGAGGTCTTCACAAGCCCGGTAAGGTCCGATTGGCAGTTTACACGACACCATCAAGAAGGTCCAGAGACAGTCAGTGGGGAAGGTTACCATATGATTACGCGCAACCCAGAAGACGACCACCCCCTCGGGCAGCTACGGCAACGAATCCGAAGCTCGCAACCTAATGCAGTAGAGAATCCAACGGGCGAGCCTACGTGGCAGTCTCACAATACCTCCGAAGACACTCTCGTCGGCGCCTTGAAGGATACCAAGTGGGGCACCTCTAAGGTGTCGCTGACCAACGATGCATCCGACGAGAAACATGAGAACCTCATTGAGCTGGAGACTGAAGGCCCCAACAAGACGTTCTTCGATCCCGAGACAGGAGAGTTCATCCACCTTACACCATGGAAAAGCACTGGCAATGAAGAAGTTCATGGGCTCAAACCGGACGGCAAAGGCAGTATCAAACGTGCGTTTGCTCAGATGGCTCTGGGAGCAACTGGTTGGGCAGGTGGCAAAAATATCGACGATCAGCTGGCAGAAGAGCTACAGGCAAACAGCAAAGGCGCAGAGAGGGATTCGAGTACACTCAAAGCTGGGGATTGCATTACTGGGCATTTGGCAAACGAGGTTCCGTCTGGAAAGCCTACGATGGTCTGAGGCTTCTTAGTCTTGTGCGATGAAGAAGCACTGCTGACGGTGGACTCGAGGATCCTATCGCCGCAGTGAACGACAAAGACACAGACGAGGTCGACCCTAAGGTGACGGCATTCCTGCTAAAACATGATACTGGAATTGATATTGATAGGGATGTGGACATGAGCTCAGACTCAGAATCGGACTCAAACGTTGAGGGAACAGGATCAGAAAGAAACTCGGCTTCGGCTTCGGTATCGAAGTCGGACGAGGGTCAAGAAGATGCAGATATCTGGATCCCACAAGCCACTCGAGATGGAGGATTGTTCAATCTCAATACGCTCACCGGGGTCACGAGTTCGGAACTTCCAACATTAGAAGTCAAATCGTCGGATCGGACGCCAGATTGGGAGGCCGAAGCTATGAATTCTTCCCAATTTCCATACGCGGATCGCGAGAACTCCGGGGCTCACTCTGGCGCTGCGGTTGCGAGCCCGCGATAATCCGTTATGATGAGGAAGATCAATTTCCAAGGCCATATGGTCATCGGCTCAATACGCAAGATTTTACCTTTCGAGCCCCCTTAGAGGAATACCAGCGACGAATCAATGCCATAATGGAAGCAATGGGCTATTCCATCTCACCCCCATTATCGTACGCCGATCGCGAGGATCCCGAGGCTCATTCAGCTAACTTCGGGCCTGTGGTTCGCGAGCCCATTCAGATTCGTGATATGGTAGGAGACGATAGAACCGAAGCTGGGCATGTCGAAATGCAGCAACCCAAGCAAGAACACCTGGAAGCTGAAGCAAAACTTCAACCAAAAAGAGACAGAGGGAAAGAATTTCGCTCCATAGTTAGATTCTCAGGAGACAGGGGTCGAAGAGCAGTGCAAAGTCTCTAGACGAGATCGACACTAACAGCTTGTATTTACAAAGAAAGCTCTCTGATAGTAAGGGACTGGAGCTTCCAGACGAGATATTGCCGTCATGGTTTTGCAGCGAAATCTCAGAAATGGCTCGATGTCCTGCGCCCTCAACACTGTTTGAACTTGGAACTCGACCTACATCCATTGCGGCCTCCTCATCATTGAATCTCGACTAACCATCACCAACGCCGCCTAAGCGGTGGTCGCAATATAATGAACAGCCTCTGCCGTCGATTCCGGTTTCTAGTCACCAAACCGCCCCTCCATCTCAAATACGTCGCTCGACATGATGTGGAAGGACCACGAAATGGGCTGGCAGTCTGCCCACCGACAGGAGCCATCGCTTTTGAGCTTGTCCTCCACAGATGTCGAGATCATGATATCACCGGAGATCGCAGAAAGGCAGATGCGTGAGCATCCTTCTATAAGCGACCGACGTGGAGATTGTAGTACCACCTGGAACATCGAAATCGCAGATACCGGGCAGCCGTGGTAGTCGCAAGGGAGAGCGAAGAACATAATTCTTTTTCTAGCGCTTCTCCCCAGGCCTCACTCAGTACGATACCTCGATACCGTTGAAAGTCACGCATCACTAATGGTAACTCGATGAATGAGCAAGCCTGTCTGATGAATGATACTGTCTTCCGAGCCGACTTGGCTACTCCACCAACCAGCACGAACACCTGTCATTCCCGGAGATCCTCGTAGTGAGATCTTTTTTGGCATACTGCTTTAGGGGTTGGTGGACAGACCACAAGACTCTGTCTGAATGTTAGCTAGTCGTATCAGGATCGCTACTAGTATACTCGCACGCACTCTCGCTCCTACAGCTCACGTAATCAGGGTCTATATTCTCAAGTCCCAACACTACACTTGATGCCCAAAGCTGTTCGAGGTGTGTCATACGCACGGACAGGTGGCAACAGGTAACAATGCTCACATGGACATATGATTGATTTATATGGCCATATCATATGTGTGTCAAGGTACTATCGTCCTTTTGCCACAGGCCTTTGCTACTATTTCTTATTTCTAGATAGAAATGCCACTCCATAGAGACAGTCAATCCAACCACAATAGTCATGGACTCCCTGTCCACAGCCTTTCCCTTCCTCTTTGTTCTTATCTTCATCTCAGACGTCGATCTATTATCCGCGTATATACTTATTATAACCTTCGCTGTATAAGAATGATATAGACATTCTAGACTTGTTTAAGAGTTCGATGTGATATATCAATGAACAGTTTGGAAAGGACCGTCAGAAACCAGTGATTGAAGTAAACTAGCTTAGTACGAAGTCATACGTAATCATCGTATCATTTCTTCGTTCGAGGACCTAGAATGTCACTTTACGAGTAAATGTTGTAGAATGGGCATAGTGAAGCTTCTCTTCTCCAGATTGGCAGGAACTCAATGAACATGCTTCTTGTCCTGTGGAGCAGGAGCTTCACTTCTTTTCATCACTTCGAGCCACCCTAAAGACAACCCAAGTCAGACACCTCTACTACATATCTACCTCCCCGCAACCTACCGCGCAACCTCACCTCCTCGAACCACCATAACTCTCACACCCTCACAACAACCACACCAAACCACATCACCATGGCCGCCTCAACCACCACCACCACCCCGGCCCTCTTCCGCTTCAGCGTCCACAACACCACCGACACAACCCACATCTCCCACACGCACCCCGTCCCCCTCTTCCTCTGCCAGCCCGCCGAATCCCAACAAACGAGCGCCGCCTTCAAAGACGCCTTCATCGACGTCATCGCCCTCATCACCGCCCAACACCACACCGAATGCATGGCCGCCCTCACCTCCCCCTGTCTCGCCTGCGCCTCCCCCACGACCGACTGCCTCAAATCGCCCTCCTCGTTCCTCAACCTCGCCGAGCCCGTCGTCGTCATCGCCGTCTACCCCGTCTGCGGCAGCAAGACGTGCGAGTACCAGGTCCGGGGTCAGTTACTGCGGCGTCAGATGCGGGGCATCGAGGCGGCGAAGGAGGATGAGCGGAAACTCTATGGGAAAATGGTCTGTGAGGTTTGCGGGAACAGGGACGCGAAGCGCTGTGCTGGGTGTGGCTCGGTGGGGTATTGCGGCAAGGAGTGTCAGGCGGAGGGGTGGAAGGTGCATAAGCGGGATTGCAGGAGGGGACATAAGCCCGGGAAGAAGGAGGGCGAGGCGGTCGGGTTGCCGTATGAGACTATCTGAGGTGGGGAGCTGTGGCGGGAATGGAATCGGGTGCTCTGGCATGAGGAGGATGTCACTATGCGAGATGCAGGTGACAGGATCGGTGTCAGCGTGGACTTGGGGACTATTGTGCGTAAAAGGCTGGTGATCGTCTTCATGGAAGCGTGTGGTATGAGGGCTGACTGAGGGAAGCTAGCTACAGCTGAAGGCACGAGCTACGGTTGCATTCTAGCAGACTTCTTGGAGATCGAACAGCATGTGTCGAAGAGCTTGGAAGCTCTTGCTACCTTCTTGATGGTTGAATGAACAAAGATCTTGCCAAACACTGCGTTCATCTACATCGAATTGCACCCATGTATCGTACCGTGGTCTGCTACAGCCAACTCTTACTAAATCCGTCCACAGCTCCTCTGCCCTTCTACCAGGCCTTCAATTTGCCACCACTGATCTCTAATCGTCCCCTTCAAATGGTCCTTTAACTCATTACACTGAGCCAACAAATGATTTCATCTATATCTGTACAAAGATATAAGAGGCAGAAACCCTCATCTCGCAAAGATGTGTTGAGTGGGTATACAACAACATATACGTGTACAAGTCAAAGTCGGCGTCTGAGACGAAGACGAAGATGAAAAAGCGGGGAAAAAAAAAGAAAGAAAAGACTGTGGGAAGCGCGTCCATGGCTATTGACGCCTCGAGCCTTGATCCTTTGCTTTACTGTTCTTTATTTTGCTTTGACCGATCAAGTGCACCCTTGGGACTCGAGATGCAGGTATAAGGTGTTATAGGAAGTGTAATCTAGGAGGGAGCGGTGGGGGAAGGCGGACGACGGTATATGAATAAATAATCGACGAATTGGGTGGGAGGAAGGTGGCGTCCATGGTGATGGCGGTGTGCTCGAAATCCGATTCGGAAGGGGTTGATCTCGTTGCCGGAAGACTTGGATCTGTGGGAAGACCGAGTGACAAAGACCAGACGTAGAAGCCATAGATGTGGGCGAGCGCAGTCTGTGAAGATATCTGGGGCGCCAGGTTCGTGTCCTGGGATGGACTCTGCTCTCACGGTTGCATGACGCTCTTGAGGCTTGCGGCCAAGCTTCTGAGACTCAGAGATGAATGCTTGTCGTCTACGAACATGTCCTCGTCTAATTACGATCTCTTGAGCTCTTAGGCTTTGCTGGTGGGCTGAAACAGAGGAAGACCTCGATGCTCCACCGACTCATGTCGAGGGAGCTCTTGCTTTCATAGGAGTGATGGTTGAAGTGGAATGTCAAAGGTCACACAGGACCATACCTTTGCATTCCAGCCATATCTCCACGATCATGGATGTGTAGTACAAGTCCCGGGCATCTGGTTCCATGAGATCTTCAGATGTGTTGAGAAGTTAGTTGGCAAAATCCGACGGGACAATTTTCCAACCGAGTTTTTGTAGAGAGTTATCGTCACAGATATACGAAAGCAAAGCTATAGCCTACGAGTAGGTTATCGAGCACGCCATCAAAACAGAATGCTTATCTGTCAACGGCAGAAAAGGCCGTCATAGGCTTCTTCATCCCAGTATTTGCATGCAGATGTACGAATAATATATGGCATTACCTGGACCCATCAATGCCACCGTTTTGTCTGTTGTGTTTGATGTCCCATTGTGAGAAAATGACCTGTCTGCGGTCCAGGCGCCAGACGTTTCCCTTTTCAGAGCCCAAACAGCCCCATCGAATTCCACTGATTTTTTTAAGACAGCTCCGAGTGGTGTAGCCGGAAAGCTCCTGACCCGTACAGAAATCCCTGCGTGAAGATTTTTGGAGCGTCATCAACGGCACCAGCACCACACACTCAAAGAGATGAGCCTAGTGACGAAGCCCAGACTGCATCATGCTAGCCATTGCGTTGCCCTTGTTTGGAAAATGATCACCTGTCACGCTGATACGACCATCAAATGGGTTACCAACGAGCCCGATGACGAACGGAATCCAGTTATCCATACCACATGAGCAACTACAATATCACTAATATAGTGCATCAATGCGTGCAGTGCGGAAAAAAAATTCCCATTAACGTCGAAGGATACCGTGCCTGAAAATGATAGCTGGCACGCTTCCCTGCTGTTTGGATCCTAAGTAAAAGTGGACGAATGGTAATTCACCAAGCAATTCATCATCTTAGCGGATTCATCGTAGATCCTGTTCGTGTTGTATTTCCCCAATTTGTCAGTGGCATTCCTTATCGTTGTTTGGCATGCGGGATCTTTCACTACAGCCCGGGTCTTCATATCTTCAATGCAGAGTATTTGAAGATGATTTGGGTGCTTCTGGTCTTGCCAGAGCTGGTGAGGGGGAGATTGAGATACCTTTAGCGGAATATGAATTGAATTTATTACAGTGTTTCAACAGCCTCAACCAGTCACCGCGATGGATGTTGAAAGGGTGTTGGATATCAAAGAAAAGATGATTGAGAGTAGAGAGAAAGCAGGCCTCGGGGGAAAAAAAGAAAAGCCGGTAATTCCGAGCCAAGCCACTAGATCCAGTCAGGCTAGATCATATGCCAAGCCAATCTACTCCACTCCTCCAAAATCCCTTTTCACTGATCGAAAGGTCCTTTGGATATAAAACTCCGATTTATTGCTTCCAAAGGTTGTAGATAGCTTCAGCCATTTGTGTTCCTCAGGTCTGGGAAACTGCCTACCTTTGTCACGTCAGGGACACTCTGCATCTTCCCTTTCATGCTTAAGTCACCCACCACCATCCATCTCAACGTTTCAAAGCATATCAAACCCACAGTCACGACTGACCAGAATGTCGAGCAACACTGTTGATAAGTGGCTGGATGCATTGCGTTTCGAGAATTACCGCCTCCAATTTAGGCCTCACCCAATTGACGCCGAGGAGATAAGATCACAAATCCAGGCGCTCGAAGCTCGGCCCGTAGCCACAATTGCCCACGGCGACTTTGACACTCTACTCCACAAACTGGACAGCCTGAAGGAAGACCTGGCCTCCGTCGAACAGACGATCGAGCTCCTCTCACAGATTAGGGAGTTAAGAGGACAAATCCGCGAAAAGGGTTTTCTCGCGTACGACGTAGATCAGGCCGGAGAGGTGATCGATAATCTTCATTTCCGGTCCGAGAAGAACAAGATGGATCAGAGGCAACGACAGTGGCGACATCTGGCTTCTCTAAGGCGAGTTTGGCCGGAGGCCGATGCCGCGAGGAGGAAAGGCATTGTGCAGTTGTTGGGGACGTATAGTAAAAGGAGATTCCTCTGCGGCGCGACGAATCTTCGGATTGGTACCGTGACGAGGATTGGCAGATGGGCGAGCAGAATGTGTAAAAAGTATTGATGGTTGAGACTTGGAGCAATTGGGCAAGCTATCAGGGCAAAAGGCTGTGTTTGTGTTTGGGTGTACAATCTCCCTAAATCTCTCTCTCCCACTGAAAAGAAAGGTTCGCACCTGCCATCAATGTTGTCAAAGTCCAAGTCACCGGCTAAACCAAGTCGATGGGTCCAAGTCTCAATTCGTGCTCAATTTATATCAACAACGCCTGTATACCGGATGCTGGCTTCTCGAAATTCCGATCTCAACTCAGGATGGTACTGATGTGGTTCTCCAGCAACAGTAAAGTTGCTTTAGAGCATTGCTAGGCGGAGGACCTCGCGTTCAAAGGAGATCAGACGACCCGAACATCCGATTACGCGTTTCCTCAAGCGCCTCTACGTTCAACCGCAACATATATTTAAACGCCTCATCTCGGACGCTGAAAGAGTCTACGTCTTCCTCATGTATCCTCATCTAGTCCTCGTATTAGCAACACTACTCTGGCTGCCCTTTCACCCTCTTACGACTACTGCGCTAGATGTCGCTCGTCACGGACCGATCGCAACGGCTTCCAATCGAACTCAAGGCAAATCAAACCTCAAACTCACACCCTCTGCAGGTTTTCCCAACAAGACTCTCGCGCCTTCGCGAAACTTCATTTCATACCACGTCCCCCACTCACCCACGACCCTCCAATTCCACAGCTTCGGTTCCTCGATCCCTGTCGATGAATTACTCCAGACCGTCGCCTTAGCTGTAGGCGTCATTTTCAAATACTTGAACAAAGGGGAAGGCAGGACGCCCATCGCCACAGGTGTCTTCGTCTTCACACACGAGTTCCGGAATCATGACGAGCTTGAAATTATCGTTGGCGATTTTCGGGAGATCGGTCGGCCGATGACTTATAACGCCTTGTTCGATGTGGTGAGAGGAGTTGGCGAGTTCATGATAGTGCCAGGGCACAAGACTCAGGAAGTGGAGTTTGAGGCGGAGATTCTGGGACTTGGGTATGTGGGGACTGGACACGTCGATTACAAGCCAGCTGAAGTATCGACTTCTCGCGTCGCATGAACCAATAACCAATTCACGTTTGATCCGGCTGAGGTTTAACCCGCTGCATCTTCTAAGCGCAGATTGTGTGCACATTTCTTCTTATCGCGCATGACTCGGGCGCTTTGGGTCAAGGGCGTTCTGCAGTGCAGGGTGGGCTGAAAATGGGACTCTGGGTGTATGCACTCAATATCACGGTCAGGCCTAGAGTCTTTGATCTTTGTAGTCAAGCGGGCTTTTGCTCTTCATAAGTGTCCACAGACGCAAATGGTAAAGTGCCGACTTCGTCGAAAATTTGTGGTCTTCAACTACAACTTAACATCCAGTAGAGAACGAGGTGCAACCAGAAGCTGTCAAACTTGGGACAGAAATTTGACTCTTTACCAACAGGATTCAAACAATTACTGTCTTCAAAAGAGACGAAACCCTGCGACTCCAGGGGAATATCACATGATGATGGCGAAGTGGGGCGAGTCATACAGCAGCTAAGTCAATATGCAAAGCGCACCTTCCACAACCTGATAGCAAGATGTTACCCTCTCATCAATCTTTTCGCAACGCGATTTGAATTTTAAGTCCGAGTAACGTTTCTCCGTAATCTCATATCTCCCGTCTCTTGAAGCATTACCCATAGCTCAAATACTCGAAGACGCGCCAGAAGGCAAAGAATCGAATCCAATCGAATCTTCCAATCGAATCTCGTTCCGCGGGCAAGGTTCCCTTCGATTGTTTAACCATGGCCCCGCTGGTCGAAGAAGACAATTCACAAGAAACGCTCTTTCGACCACAAAGTCTGACCGTGCCAGCGTGTATGGTAGCCGCCCCAGCGTGTGTGCTTGGATGCCTTGCACCTGAGCTTTTCCACCAGACTCTGGATGATGCCCCAGTGCTCAGCGTACTAATCTTGGTATCTTGTTCCAAGCCAGGTACATATTTGCATCAACGCGTCCGAGGTCATCTACAATGCAGACAGGTCTTCCCCTGTCAGAACGAACTCATTTGGGCATACAACTTGGACGTTTTGCTCTACGATACCGCGACATCTTTACATACTTTCCCTTTACACCTGTATATTTTCCACAAAGGCCACAAGAAACCTTCGTCCGCAGGCGATCGTACCGTCACGGGTCCCACACGCTTGAAAATCAAGCACTACCGTCTTCCCGGAACTTTGGCCGAGAGCATCGTGGAAATACCCGGGTCAGTGTCTAGATTTCATAGAGGAACACCCTTCAAGAGGCCTCGGAAGAATTGCTCACTTCCAATGTACCATTCTACAGCCGGCGAAGCTCGGCATTTTGCGAGTCTTTGTATCATGGACTGGGAATCACCCAAACCGCCCAGCAGAGAATCAATGTTATCAAAGCCGCTCAGCTCGTTTGAATGGTCGATGTATTGGGGGAATATGCCGCAACGCTCAAGAGATTCTCAGGTCCTTCCCAGAAGAGAAGACCAAACACGGAACATACAGTATCTCTACTAAGATGTCATGCCGAGTCAATCCGCCGAAACAAGAGACTCAAATACTCGGTCGCATGCCGTATTCATTTCAGATATGTTGTATCACCATTCACTCATTGAGCCATTGGACGCCTACTTGAGGCTTTTTGTCACCTTATTGCACGGAATTCCGCTTTCTCCATCGAAGACGTTCCAATTGGAGGATTCCGTCGCAATTGCCCGAAAATCTCGGACAAAGACAACGCAATTCACATATTCAGGGAACACTTCCAATAATCTCAAGACAGTCGTTGCGGGACTCGCATACATCTACACCGTGCCCAAGCTCCGCTCTGGCAACTTACCCCCAACACTCCTACCAAACATATTGCACTCCTTATTCGGCTGCCCATGTCACTAGCTGCCAGGTGGCGAAGGGTAACACCTGGGTTTCAACAGAGCTACTTCATTGTTACACGGGCCAAATCTATCGATGACTACGAGCACTGCTAGCCCAAAAGCCAGGACGTTGCGTTAGGCTCTTTTCCACAATGGGTGATACCGCAGAGAATCAATGATCGCTGTGTGATGGGGTCCCATTGTTCGACTTTGCTTGTCCCGAAGACTGTTGGAATGCTAGGTATGAAGACCCGCGGTTTCACTTTTCCGCTGGGCAAATACCTGGGTAAGCTTCTCGCTCATCACGTCGAGACTGCGTGCTTCCTGAATGGAGTTGTTACCTCGTCAAGAGACAGAATTGGTGTGGCTGAAAGCTTTTCTGAGGGCTGTCACGTTCATGGAAGGCTTGCGAAAGGAGAAGAATGATGGATTGGAAGTCTTGCTTGAAAGTCACGAGGGCGCGGATGCTGAGCACTGAGGGGATAAAAGCCCTTTCAAAGAGCCATAAGAGTATGAGTAGCGAGCACGAAGGCATTCAGAAAGAGGAGAGTGAAGGACGAGAAGTCTTGACATAAAGTCACGCTGACAGCGCGAGGACTGAAGACAAAGCAGATGAGTAGAAAAGGGGAGTCGAAGGCAGCGATCTTTGTGTCGGAGTCATAAACGAGTCAAGGACGAGGTCAGTTTGATCGTTTGACCCGAGGAGCTTTGTCTTTAGCTTGCAGGATGCCTTGATCCTTGTATTCGAGATGGCCACTTGGCTGATGACTGCGAAACGCAACAGTCCTTTTTGATAGGCTTCGAGTCTCTTGAAGGGCATGAATATGGGAACTATAGCTCGAGAGATGATGCGCGATGGTTTTGCAGTGTGGTTCTGTCATATGCTCTTAGGGTAAGGTATCTGGAGCTATTGAATCGAAGGAGGATTGTTGCTTGGTCATGTAAGTCTAGCCCTGCAGCCGCTAAACCTCGGATGGCTTCGCGACATTTCCGAGATTACAAACAATCTTCCCAGCTCGGACTTCCGGGAAGTAGATGTTCATTCACCGTGAAGCGAGCGATGGCATAACTCGACATATCAGAAAGCATTTTACCCTGCTCTCAAGGTACTATCATTTCCCTCGAGACGATCTTTTGCTATTCACAAGCTTGAACACGAGAAGAACGAAGGTCTATCGCCGTCGTCAAAGAATTCACCATTTTTGCTAGAACTCAGCATGAACCCCGCCGTAATCGCAGCTGTCAAGGAGAAGTTCACGGCTTTCGATACTCACAACATTACATATCAAGTAGTCAATGGCCATGCCATCACCACTGATATCCTCATCCCTAAAAACATTCAGCCGGGCAAACATCCTATCATCGTCAGCTTCCACGGAGGCTACCTCGTCTGTCACCCCCTGATTCCCTTGCGCAGATAGAGTCAGCTGCTCACGCTTGCATGCGGATCACCGGCGCAAGTCTCTTCCCTGGACATTTCCTGCCATGGATCATGGATTTCGCCCTCGAGCATTCGGCCGTTCTTGTGAGGCCGAATTATCTCAAGCTGCCCGAATCTACGGGGCTGGAGATTCTGGATAATCTGGCTCAATTCTGGAAATGGTTCCGCGGAGGACTGCGGACAGCGGTCAAGTCGGCAACGGCAGGTGCAGTTGAAGCTGATGTATCAAGGACTCTGGTGATCGGGCACAGCGCCGGTACGTCCATTCTTGATCGGGGGCATCTTCGATGATCCTTCACAGCCACTCGCTGACGCTTCGACGCCGTCAGGAGCCTACCTCGCCGTCCAATCCGCCATCACCCAGCCCGCCGGCACCTTCGGGGCCGTCATCGCCGGCTACGGCATGCTCGACATGAGATCCCCCTGGTTCACCCAACGCTACGAAAAACACCCCCTCGGCAACCCCACGCTGCCCCCGTCACTCGTCGACGATCATCTCGCCGCCATGGAACCGGGCCAGGTCGTCTCGGCGGTCACGCCACCCGTCCGCGTCGATCTCGCACTGGCGACGGTGCAGTATGGCCGATACCCGGACATGCTGGGGGACGATGCGGTTGTGTATCCGATGGAGATGTTGGGGTCGGTGAAGACGTTTCCGCCTCTGTTTATCTATCATGGGACGGAGGATTCGGCGGTGGAGGTGCGGCAGACGGAGGCGTTTGTGGAGAAGTTGAAGGATGTGCTGCCGGGGGCGAAGGTGTTGGTGCGGTTCGAACACGGTGATCATGGGTTCGACGCGCCTGTGGGGCTGGAGGTGCCGTGGTTGAAGGAGGGGTTGGAGTTCGTGACGGGGGAGTGGTTGCGTCGTGTGGATGTGGGAGCTTGAGCTGGAAGGTTCGGGGGATAGATTTCTCAATAGGCTGGCTTGCACCAACTCGCTTCTATTTTGCTTGATTTCGTCCAGGGTAAAACCAGACATCCAAAGTCTCCGTCTGTTTCTTAAACTCGTCGGATCAACACTGGCGTCACGAAGCGTCTTCCCACTTTTGAAACGTCGGCTTCCACAACACGCATCTACTATCACAACTTGACATCGCACATCTCACACCGTGCCCTACGTACGTAGGCACGTAGAGAAACTCTTCAAACTCTTCTAAAGATGTGGATCAGCGAAAGCGCCCGATGGTACGTCTGATGGCGATGGTTCGAAGTACCTATGTACGTACATATATTCGTCAATGCGCTCCGGCTGCTTTCTTCGCTATCGTCTCGCTCAGTATCCGTGGAGCCTCTTTTCCGTCTGGCTTTTGCTCTGCTCTGTTTTACTCTACTCTACCTTACTCTATTTTACTCTACCTCTCTTCAACCCTCCAACCCTCCCTTCCTCCCTCCTCTCTTGCCTCTAAACCAGATAGATAGACAAATTCGAATCTTTCCCCTCTCCGACGCGTCCCCCAATGCCATAATGGCCCAGCTGACTCACCCATCACCTGAACAAATGAGCAAACAAACTCATCAACCGCTCCCTCCCTTCCCATCAACGCATTATCCCCGAGTCTGACTTAGCCCGTCCTACGCGTGTACTGTGCACCATTGCGGTATACTTTGCCATTTCGTCACCCCCTTACCTCACGCTTCCGGTAGCGTACGTACGTAGCGCGGGTTCTTGGCCGTTTGAAACACCGCTTGTTTGCTGGCCTTCGTTCGAGCGTGGAGGTGACGAATAAAGGGTGCGGAGCTG